CAAAACCCAACTTACAAAGCGTAAGAAAAAATACTATCACAGATTCTAACACTGTATAAAAATAGCCACAGATCACATAACACTGCTATAGCATCAAGAATCACTTGGCGACAAGTAATATAATACTAGGATACTTAAACAACTTAAGAATGCATAGCACACTCAGGACTTAAGTTCTCTCACGTTCAAATGGTCAGAATGGACTGCCGGACAAAATGGACGGCCTGGTCAAGGTGGACTGCCTCGTGCTGCCTGTGGGCGATCTAGTTATAGACTTAGGCAACAGGGGAGGTTATCCTCAACTCATGTAGCCATTGGTTGGGGTGGTCATCTGATCTGAATCAATCAATCAGATCTTGATGGAAAATTTCTGAGTCTTAGACACTCTTAATAAGACAGTGGAAAAAACCCGGTTGTTGCACCATCAATCCATATATGGTATTATGACAGTGTCAAACTAAAAATGGAACATGACTAGACCTAAGTAGGTCACACAATTGAAAAGTGCAAAGGAATCAAGACCTTTTGGTATACTTTAAAGACAAAGCGTGGTTGGAGAGAGTATCATACCTAGCAGATATATTCGAACATCAACATAAGCTTAACCTGAAGCTTCAGGGAAAATGAACGAATATATCTCTTTTCATGATTATCAAAGCTGCAAATTTGGATAAGAAAAGTAAATCTTGGAAATATTGCCATGCTTGTTGAGTATGATTGTGAGGTAAATACAAATTTGAAAGAGGAGATTTCTGGGCATCTTGAATCTCTTGGCATCGAACTGCAGCGTTATCCCTGAGCTGAAAGAAGAAAAATCTGCATTGACACGTTACCCATCCTCTGCTCCCCTTGATGTTGCGAGCATTCACAATGAATTACAAGATGGATTCTTAAATGTGCGGAATGATTTCGCGTCAGATGAAAAACTGCTTACACAATTTTGGTGTAGTATGCACCATTCATACCCAAACGTGACATTGATTGCCTTTTGAGTTTTAGTTCCTTTTTGTGTCTACATATCTTTGCGAGAACAAATTTCAACACCTTCTCTAATTAAAAACAAAACAAACAAATAAATTAAATACTGAGAATCACAAAACCTCATGAATGTTGAGGCTAGTTAATAGCATGCAGTTTTACTCATCGTATTAAAACAGTTATCAATAATAACTCATATTGAAAGTCTACTAGAAAATCTTATTTAAGTACTGATTAATTTCCTTACTAATTTCGACTTTTTAATTCTATGGGGTCGCGGGTCACTTTAATATTAATCAAAGGGGGTCGCGGGTCACTTAATATTAATAAAAGGGGGTCGCCACTCGAAAAAGTTTGGAAACCACTGCCTTATACTCCTACTTGCAAAAGTTACAGATAAGATTAAAAAAATTCCGTCATCTGCAGCTATGGACCGTTTATTTTGATTAGATCTATTTGGTTCAAAGTTGCATTATCCTCAGGATGAAGTTTTCGTGTTAACTGTAACCCTAACCTTACCTTGGTCACCAAACACTTCGTTAACCTACAAGACATAGGTCAAGGTCAACTCAACGCCTACTAGATCCAGATCTAGCTACTAGAACAACCAGTTTTGTCAACAAGGATGTCATGAACGACCATTCCATTAGCACACTTACTATTGTGTTGTGTGTAAAACTACAGATGTTACCGGTCGAAATGATTTGTTATCGATCGGTTTGACAGCACCAGTAGCGTAAGCAGGGGGGAGCAGGGGAGCGGCCGCTCCCCCTCTGGCCATTTTCAGCAAAGTGGCGCCTTTTTGGAAACTTCTTAAACTACATGTTTTAAACAATGATAATGATATTTGCTAAAAAAAATATTTTTTGTCGGCACATCTATGTAAATCACAAGATTTCTTTTCATGCAGCAATTAAGCATTATTGTACTAGTCTAGTAGTGTCTACGTTTACAACACGTATTAACAGCTACATCAGTTGCCATTCTAAAAATAACCATTACGATGCCTTGCAATGTTTAAAAAACCTCTACGGTAGTACCACTTTACAAGAGGGGTGTTAAGTTTAAGGCAACTGTATAATGTATTTGCTTACGAATAATTGAATTAGAAAATGTTATTGTTATACATAAAACTTCACACATAATTACTTTATATATACAGTTTGACTCGTGTGATTAATTAAAAAAAAAATTAAAATACAGAAACTAATACAACTGATGTGTCACCTCTATTTAAATTTACTTATGAGCAAACTGCGTAGTGGTGGGGACATTTTGACAAGGCCAACAACGTCATCACTATGTAGTAGTAGTTTTCTTACAGTTTGGGCGATAGTGATTACGATTACAAATTATATGAAACTGTTACAACCCCCCCCCCCTCCCCCATGGACCCCTCTGTAAAAAAATATTGTCACAATATCACTGCTACTTATTTAAATCTATTTCTGTAATATATATGTGTGTAATATATATTTGTGTAATATATATGTATGTTTAGAACAGTCATCTAAAAACTGACGCTTTGTTCACTTTGAGTTTGTTATCTCCCCCCCCCCCCCCCCACACACACACACCTCACCACCACAATTGTGTAGAGCGACATTAATGTCACACCTAGGTATACACTGGGTTGGATAATTGACCTAAAGTGAAAGGACAGTGGTGAATGAAGTTGAACCCACCTCCCCCCCCCCCAACCCACCCCGAACTGATCTGTTTAGTACAGTACATTGTAATGATGTACCAAAGTACCATGCCGCCAGAAAATTAGCTTTTTAAACGTAAAACTATGTGAATATTGTTTTTGCAATTACCAGTAAAAAGGTGTGTGATCAGACAATATTATGTTTAAAATGATCTTTAAAGAACACAAAGAAGCAGTAGTTATTTAAAATATATGATCTGAACTAAAAGACCGATATTTAGTTAAATGTAGACTGTTATTCCAAATGTTTTTCCAATGTAACTAAAAGCGTGCTTTTATACCAACTCTGATTTTATTAACACGTTTTTCTTAACTCAGCTTCGCGTTTATTTGTTTGTTTGTTTGTTTGTTGTTAAAATTGACATCGAAAATTAGCCCACTTCTGATTGCTCTAGAGATCTAAAATTTGGCATGCAGGCTATTTTCGCCTAACAATTTCAGATGCAATCATAAAAACTAGCAATTAAAGACCTAAATTAGCTTAATTAAATTACGCCCCAAGGACCCTAAAATTGAGGACATGATTTCTAAAGATACCGACAAGACTGGAGGCCTATTGACACAGTTACTTCGGCCCCAATCGATATGAGCGCGCTGGCCGTGATCGCATAGTGGTTGTGGCCGCGACAACCCAGGTTCGAATCCTGGTCACGGCATGTAGGCTTAATTAAATTACGCCCCTTCTCTGTTTAAAGCGTATCGGTCGCTCAAGATTTTTAGTCCGTGTATTTAAAAACACTTAGTCAAGTCATACTTAATCAAGTCATTAGATAAAGTAGAAAATAAACTATATAAAAAACTTTTTAAAAACCACGTTTTTCATGTGTAGCAACGGACTAAAAAGGAGAAAATAAAATACTTAAAAAAAACTTTTTAAAAAAACACGTTTTTCTTGTGGACTAAAAAGTAGAAAATAAATTTTTCTTCCGACCCTAGGGGATCTACCAATGACTGCTCGTAGATTTTGTTCATACATTTGATGACAAAAAACGTGGGTCGGGCAGATGGGTCGGGAAATTTGATGGTGAATGTACCCACGTTTTTTGTCATCAAATGTATGAACAAAATCTACGAGCAGTCATTGGTAGATCCCCTAGGGTCGGAAGAAAAATTTATTTTCTACTTTTTAGTCCACAAGAAAAACGTGTTTTTTTAAAAAGTTTTTTTTAAGTATTTTATTAAAAACTTTCATTATGCTGTAATAATTTAGCATTTATGATGACGATATATTAAATTCTGATTATAGACAAAAACATTTTGTAAACACGAATAGTGTTAAACAATTTCATTATATTCTAAAGTAATTATTTATTTGTTTTGACATTTACAATTGAATGTGTAGATATATACATATTTATATTAAGAGAATGATTATTTCCCCTATTTCAATTGTCTTAATTAATTTCCCAGGAATTATTATGTAAGAATTTTTTTTTACAAGAATTACAAAACAGATTGTGTAACGTTCATTGTTTTTGGTTGTAGTGTGTGTATATATATATTTTTGTTTAGATTGATACTATTTTTGTTTTGTCGGCCTACATAGTGTGTTTTTTTTTATTTCTTCAGAGTGCTACTTTCAATATATTTTACATCATAGCGAAGTAATGACATACAGCTAGTAATTATATATATATATATATATATATATATATATATATATATATATATATATATATATATATATATATATATAATACACGTATATAGAACGTGTTAAAAATTCGGCGCCTTTTTTTTTGCTCTTTTCGCTCCCCCTACAATGAAAACCTTGTTACGCCTCTGGACAGCACATAAAGCGACCTGATTTTAGTCTCCGACAGTTAACAGAATGCAATCTTGAAAACAAAATGGCGGAGTGTCAAAAAAAATTTCAGTTTTTTTTTTACTCTACACATTTTTAAAATAAATGGGTTGGAGAGTAGGACATTGGGGAGAAAATACAAGGCAATGGCGACGGCCTAGTTGAACGAGTTGGGTCAACCATTTTTTAATTTAAATTTTGTCATCAAAGCGGCCGTGAAAATAATTTAGGTTCAAGCGTCAATCAACGAAGCGAGATGTGTCCAGTTAGAGGTGTGTCCAGTTAGAGCTGTGATCAATTAGAGATGTGTCCAGTTAGAGGTGTGTTCAGTTAGAAGTGTGTCCAGTTAGAGGTGTGTCCAGTTAGAGGTGTGTTCAGTTAGAAGTGTGTCCAGTTAGAGGTGTGTCCAATTAGAGATGTGTCCAGTTAGAAGTGTGTCCAGTTAGAGGTGTGTCCAGTTAGAGTAGTGTTTAGTAAAATATGCAAAGACACAATAAAAAGTGAACCCACCAGGTGATATTGAATGGAAGTAGCTATCTGCACCGAATTGCACAATTTGAACTATCCGTGTTTTTAAAGCAAATATAAAAACTAAGATCGATTAATGTTTTTTTAAGGACTCATGCTTAGCTGTTTATAACTGTTGTAAAATCGACGATAATTAAAATTCTTGTCTAATTTTGGTTTACAGGTATGTAAAGCTTAAACCTGAAAATAATTTAGATTTTTTTATAATTAAGGTACATTTTTAGGCAAATGGCCAAATGCACTTCCTTGCCTTTATGTCAACACTACTCATCCATCTCGCGGCCGCACCAGTATGATGACATATGTCCCTGATTCACGGTCTATTTATAGATTTTATCACTATCCTAATCTTAGATGTTCCAAGATCCTATCTGAATTTTTCTGCAGGCTTTTTTCGGCCTGTACTTAGTTGCTTGTATTTGATTGCCCAACTTTACTTTTTAATGTGATTGGTGAGGTGATTTTTACTTTCTCGTATATACGAAGTATAGAGAAAGTCTTGTAATCGTGCAAAAAAAAAATCGAGATTTTTACAAATCTCGACGTTTCACACCTCACTGATACGGAAAAACATAATTTTGCAATCAAGTATTTAATCAAAATCGTAGATCCGTATCAACTTTTGAGCGATTTCCGATAACCGGAAGTGGTACTTTTCCTACTTTGAATTTTTCAAAAGCCTATAACTTGAGTACTATTTCAGATAGATAAATGAAATTTCACATGTAAGTAAAAGATCTAATTCTCTACCTTCTATTAAATTTTGAGTCATTTCCGTTGACTGGAAGTAGTACTTTACGCTACTTCCGATTTCTCAAAAAACTAATGTAAATTTTAAAAGTAATAATAATATTGCGCACTATTGTGCGCTTTTTTATTTGGCGTTCACTTGGTGTGCAATTAATTTGTCTACGAGATTTTATTCTATTTTTAAAACTTTAAGTATTTAAAATGGATTAAAAATCATGTCTATAGCCCGAGTTCCCATCCCCTGTTATTTTATATAAGAATATTCGAGAAAGTTTAGGGGAGATCACTCCCGGTTTATTTTTTATTGCATGACAAATATTTAATTTAACATTTTTTTCCCTGAGATATTTTTTTCCTTGATATATTTTTTCATAAGATATTGTTTCCCTAGGATAATTTAGTCTGAGATATTTTTTCCTTGAGACGTTTTTTTCCAGATATTTTCCTTGAGATAAATTTGTCCCTAAGATAGTCTTTCCTTAAAATATTTTGCCTTATTTTTTTTTCCTTGAACTATTTTATCCCTGAGATAATTTGTCCTTGAAATAGTTTTGTCTGAGTAATATTTGCTTAAAGTATTTTTCCTTAGGATAATTTTACCTTGAGATAATTTTGTTTCTGGGCTAGTTTCTCCTTAATGTGTTTTGTCTTAGATATCTGTTTGTCCAGTTAGAGGGGTGTCCAATTAGATATCAATTTGTTGTATCAATTTGTTGTATATCGAGGTGGTTTGAGGTTTTATTATAGTGTCTAGAATATATCGAAGTGGTTTGAGGCTTTGTTAGTCTAGAGTATATCGAGATGGTTTGAGGTTTTGTTATATTGTCTAGAGTATATCGAGGTGGTTTGAGGTTTTGTTATATTGTCTAGAGTATATCAAGGTGGTTTGAGGTTTTGTTATATTGTCTAGAGTATATCGAGGTGGTTTGAGGTTTTGTTATATTGTCTACTATATCGAGGTGGTTTGAGGTTTGTTATATTGTCTAGAGTATATCAAGGTGGTTTGAGGTTTTGTTATATTGTCTAGAGTATATCGAGGTGGTTTGAGGTTTTGTTATATTGTCTAGAGTATATCGAGGTGGTTTGAGGTTTTGTTATATTGTCTACAGTATATCAGGGTGGTTTGAGGTTTTGTTATATTGTCTAGAGTATATCGAGATGGTTTGAGGTTTTGTTATATTGTCTAGAGTATATCGAGGTGGTTTGAGGTTTTGTTATATTGTCTAGAGTATATCGAGGTGGTTTGAGGTTTTGTTATATTGTCTAGTATATCGAGGTGGTTTGAGGTTTTGTTATATTGTCTAGTATATCGAGGTGGTTTGAGGTTTTGTTATATTGTCTAGAGTATATCGAGGTGGTTTGAGGTTTTGTTATATTGTCTAGAGTATATCAAGGTGGTTTGAGGTTTGTTATATTGTCTAGAGTATATCAAGGTGGTTTGAGGTTTGTTATATTGTCTAGAGTATATCAAGGTGGTTTGAGGTGTGTCCAAGATGACGTCGTTGCTGGTACGTGGCACGCTACTGACGTGGGTGATTGGCTGCATGCGTGAGGGTCAGGCACAAATGGACACGAGATGCGAATCGCCGACCCTACCTGAGCCATGCAATCTGCAGGTCATTTACCCCGACCCCATTGGGATCACAGCCTGTTACGCAACATTCGAGATTGGTGATCGAGACACCGTCGTCCGTAGAGCACCGAAAATAAGGGCTGCTCTAAAAGTTGTAAGTTTAGGTCAACAGTATTTGTAAGATTGTTTGTTTAGATCAACAGTAGTTGTAAGGTTATTTGTTTAGGTCAACAGTAGTTGTAAGATTGTTTGTTTAGGTCAACAGTAGTTGTAAGATTGCTTGTTTAGATCAACAGTAGTTGTAAGATTGCTTGTTTAGATCAACAGTAGTTGTAAGATTGTTTGTTTAGGTCAACAGTTGTTGTAAGATTGCTTGTTTAGATCAACAGTTGTTGTAAGATTGCTTGTTTAGATCAACAGTTGTTGTAAGATTGTTTGCTTAGGTCAACAGTAGTTGTAAGATTGTTTGTTTAGGCCAACAGTAGTTGTAAGATTGTTTGTTTAGATCAACAGTAGTTGTAAGATTGTTTGTTTAGGTCAACAGTAGTGGTAAGATTGTTTGTTTAGGTCAACAGTAGTGGTAAGATTGTTTGTTTAGATCAACAGTAGTTGTAAGATTGTTTGTTTAGGTCAACAGTAGTTGTAAGATTGTTTGTTTAGATCAGGGGTCTCCAAACTACGGCCCGCGGGCCAGATGCGGCCCGCGAGGTTCTCTCATCCGGCCCGCGGAGATCTTTTTGTCCACGGAAAAAAACGTTTGTTGGTAATGGTTAGGATCTTTGCCCAGAAAAATCAATGACATGCCTGGAAGAAACTGGCCCCCGAACTGAAATTTGATAGTTAATGCGGCCCTCGGACTGAAAAGTTTGGAGGCCCCTGGTTTAGATCAACAGTAGTTGTAAGATTGTTTGTTTAGGTCAACAGTAGTGGTAAGATTGTTTGTTTAGGTCAACAGTAGTGGTAAGATTGTTTGTTTAGATCAACAGTAGTTGTAAGATTGTTTGTTTAGGTCAACAGTAGTTGTAAGATTGTTTGTTTAGATCAACAGTAGTTGTAAGATCGTTTGTTTAGATCAACAGTAGTTGTAAGATTGTTTGTTTAGGTCAACAGTAGTTGTAAGATTGTTTGTTTAGGTCAACACTAGTGGTAAGATTGTTTGTTTAGGTCAACAGTAGTTGTAAGATTGTTTGTTTAGATCAACAGTAGTTGTTGTAAGATTGTTTGTAAACATGTTTGTATATTATATCATATCACGTAGCTTCACGCTGTGTTGTATCGTAAATTGCATTTAACACACAAAAACACGGTACGGTATTGGTAAACCAAGAACAGTGTACTGTAAAACGGTTTCTTGTTAATTCCGTTTTATTTTCAATTTTGAATTTAGAATAAAATTTAAAGTAATTACATAACACCGTTACACGTCAATACTCATTAGATGACCAAAGGACTAGAGCTTATAAAAACAAGTTAATAAAAAGTCTAGTGACTATTTAAGCGCAATTTCCTTATGTTATCCATAACAATTTTTAATTTTTTTGTGACCGAACGAAAGGATATTTTTGCGCTAAAAACCTACACGATGCTTAAATTAAAATATCATCCTAGGCCTACACGATGCTCAGTTTAAAAATTCTTAATTAATTTTTTGGTGACCGAACGAAAGGATATTTTTGAAAACTTTCTTCGGCAATATTGTTCTAAATTATGGCGGGAATCGATTGGTAAATGTTTCAAGTCGCTAAGTGGTCTGGTTGCCGAGATATGGGCAAAAAATGCATTTTTTCGAGGTTTTTTGGTTTTTCCGGGAAATCCAGGAAGGAATTCCGGTATTTGTTTTGGCCCACAATTATCCGCGGAACTTGCTTAACATATTTGCTTTTGGAACTAGTCCTCGTTATTGCTTCGTTGAGGAGGAGATACGACTTAAAGCTGCGGACACACATCCATTCATCCATTCGTACATCCAGAAATGACGAAATTGTCCGTATGGAAATTGCGCTAAAAACTTTACTGAAGCGGTTTGATGTCATCAAAAAATATTAGGCGCCGTCATAGATCGTAAGATTTTATGGCACAGGCTGTAATAAAACATCTACATAACGCAATACTTCGCAAGTAACCGTTCACCTATCATAATAACAATCATCATCATCACCACAATCATCATCACCAACACCACCACCACTATCATCATCGTCATCATCACCACCACCATCATCACCATAATCACAATAATCACCACTATCATTATCACTACTACCATCACCACCATCATCGCCACCACCATCATCATCAACTTAAAACCATCATCATCACCATTACGATCATCATCATCACCACCACCACCATAATCATCACCACTACCACCATCATCACCAGCACCATCATCATCATCACCACCACCATCATCATCTAAAAAACCATCATCATCACCAGCATCACCACCACTATCATCATCATGAATCTCTGACATTTGGCTCCCAGCGCCTAAATCTGGCATATGGCTCCCAGCGCCTAAATCTCTAACATTTGGCTCCCAGCGCCTAAATCTGGCATATGGCTCCCAGCGCCTAAATCTCTAACATGTGGCTCCCAGCGCCTAAATCTCTAACATTTGGCTCCCAGCGCCTAAATCTGGCATATGGCTCCCAGCGCCTAAATCTCTAACATGTGGCTCCCAGCGCCTAAATCTCTAACATTTGGCTCCCAGCGCCTAAATCTGGCATATGGCTCCCAGCGCCTAAATCTCTAACATGTGGCTCCCAGCGCCTAAATCTCTAGCATGTGGCTCCCAGCGCCTAAATCTCTAGCATGTGGCTCCCAGCGCCTAAATCTCTAGCATATGGCTCCCAGCGCCTAAATCTCTAGCATGTGGCTCCCAGCGCCTAAATCTCTAGCATGTGGCTCCCAGCGCCTAAATCTCTAGCATGTGGCTCCCAGCGCCTAAATCTCTAGCATGTGGCTCCCAGCGCCTAAATCTCTAGCATGTGGCTCCCAGCGCCATAACCCGGCAAACCGTCTCAGCTAGAGGATCGAACCTTGTGAATGGTGCTGTCAGGGGTGATGTGAGGGGGTGATGTGAGGGGTGATGTGAGGGGTGATGTGAGGGGGTGATGTGAGGGGGTGATGTGAGGGGGTGAAGTGAGGGGTGATGTGAGGGGGTGATGTGAGGGGTGATGTGAGGGGTGATGTGAGGGGGTGATGTGAGGGGGTGATGTGAGGGGTTATGTGAGGGGTGATGTGAGGGGTGATGTGAGGGGTGATGTGAGGGGGTTATGTGAGGGGCTGATGTGAGGGGTGATGTGAGGGGGTGATGTGAGGGGGTGATGTGAGGGGTGATGTGAGGGGTGATGTGAGGGGGTGATGTGAGGGGTGATGTGAGGGGTGATGTGAGGGGTGATGTGAGGGGTGATGTGAGGGGGTGATGTGAGGGGGTGATGTGAGGGGTTATGTGAGGGGTGATGTGAGGGGTGATGTGAGGGGTGATGTGAGGGGGTTATGTGAGGGGCTGATGTGAGGGGTGATGTGAGGGGGTGATGTGAGGGGTGATGTGAGGGGTGATGTGAGGGGGTGATGTGAGGGGGTGATGTGAGGGGGTGAAGTGAGGGGTGATGTGAGGGGTGATGTGAGGGGTGATGTGAGGGGTGATGTGAGGGGGTGATGTGAGGGGGTGATGTGAGGGGTTATGTGAGGGGTGATGTGAGGGGTGATGTGAGGGGGTTATGTGAGGGGCTGATATGAGGGGTGATGTGAGGGGGTGATGTGAGGGGGTGATGTGAGGGGTGATGTGAGGGGTGATGTGAGGGGGTGATGTGAGGGGTGATGTGAGGGGTGATGTGAGGGGTGATGTGAGGGGTGATGTGAGGGGGTGATGTGAGGGGGTGATGTGAGGGGGTGATGTGAGGGGTGATGTGAGGGGGTGATGTGAGGGGTGATGTGAGGGGGTGATGTGAGGGGGTGAAGTGAGGGGGTGATGTGAGGGGTGATGTGAGGGGGTGAAGTGAGGGGTGATGTGAGGGGTGATGTGAGGGGTGATGTGAGGGGGTGATGTGAGGGGTGATGTGAGGGGGTGATGTGAGGGGGTGATGTGAGGGGGTGATGTGAGGGGTGATGTGAGGGGTGATGTGAGGGGGTGATGTGAGGGGTGATGTGAGGGGGTGATGTGAGGGGGTGATGTGAGGGGGTGATGTGAGGGGGTGATGCTTACACGGCCTTCTAGTAGAGGTAACCGGCCAGGGCGCGTGAATACTTAATTAACTTTAAGGCCCAAGTGCTTGTGTCCAAGGCGAGCCACCTAGATGAAGGCATCCGGCTGTAGCGAGCCACCTAGATGAAGGCATCCGGCTGTAGCGAGCCACCTAGATGAAGGCATCCGGCTGTAGCGAGCCACCTAGATTGATGCTGTATTCCGACATGGAGAAGGGTGAGCGCCGTCATGAGACAATGAGTCCAAGACACACCACAGCTGTCTTAAGGTTAGGTTAGGTTTGTCTGTCGTCCCTACTGGGACAGGCTGTTGTTTAATGTTGCCTTCTTTCTTTTTCTCTCTTCAAATAATGTTCATGGTATCGCTGAAATCAATTCCTTATCTTGTCTTTTGATAGGGCATTACACCTGTTCGCATGTTGATGTTAATATGTTTTTAGTTTTTTCCCATGTCTCCTCTATCGTCTCTTCTTCTATTAGTTCTTGTAATACCTAAAACCTATTGGACATATGAAGTTTAAATTCATTGAGTTTAGAGGGGTCCTTAAGCAGGCCTGTGTTGTATCTGTATTTCCTTTTGTTTTCCAACATGTTTTTCTTCAGTTTGAGTTTTACTTTAGCAACAAGTTGGTGATGGTCTGAAGCAACATCAGCTCCTCTCTTGATGTGTACATCTTGAAGTGATCTCCTGAACTTTTTTATGGTCTGTCTGGTTTTCTGTAGATAGGTCGGGTGATACCTAAGTAGCTTTATGTGTCCTTTTGTTGTGAAAGAGACTACTTCCAATTACTAAATTACTTGTGGCACAAAAGTCAGCAAATCTTTTTCCGTTTTTGTTCATCTTTATAAACCCTGCTGTCCCATACATTCTTCATATCCTCTGTTGTCGCTTCCAATCTTAGCATTGAAGTCCCCCCTGAGTATAAGGATGTTTCTTCTTGGACGGTTCTGGATAATGGTCATTAGCCTGTTGTAGAATTCGTCTTTGTCCTCCTCTTTGCTGTCATTTGTTGGGGCGTAGGCCTGTGTTATGTCCATGTTTATTCGTCTTATTTTAGTTTTAAAGATAGCTGTTATGATCCGCGGACAGTGTGCCTCCCATCCAATGAGAGCCCTTTGTGCTTGGTTTGATAGCATGAGTGCAACTTCTTGAGTATGTGGTGCATTTTCATCCTCATGACCTGAGTACAGCAGTAGCTCTCCTGTTATCAGCCTTTTTTGTCCTGAGCCAGTCCACCTTGATTCGCTGACACCCAGGATAGCTATTTTATAGCCAGTCCACCTTGATTCGCTGACACCCAGGATAGCTATTTTATAGCGTCTCATTTCTGCTGCTACTTAGGTTGTTTTTCTGGCTTCATACATTATGCGGACATTCCAAGCTCCAATATTGACGGTGGTCCTGGTGGAAATAATGGTGGTTGACCTGGTAGTTTCCAATACATATTGGCTTTCACCACCCGGCTTCATAAATTCTCCATTGGGAGATCCATTCTTCCCCTGGTCCGAGCTGTCTTTGTTTCTCTTTGTCTGCATTTCTGTAGCGGGTAATTTGTTTTACGAGATAAGGTTGCTGACCTTATGCTCAACCCCCAACCTGGAGGACCAGGGTGCTAGCTTTCGTCTGACCCCTACCCGCGCAGACCTTCCCAGCTTGGTTGAACCTGCCAAGAGTTAAAACTCCCGCTGGTATAGCTCTGGGGGTCGTCAGGGTACACAAGCTGCCAAGCCACGAATGTATTTTGTGTTAGATGCCACTATGTGACATCTCTAATGTATTAGATGCCAATGTATGACTTCTATTACGGCGCTACTCTACCAGTGTTTCTTCCAGACTTTTTTCCCCGGGGGGGGCACTTGAAATCTTAGGGGGGGGCGGTAAACTTTCTTCGGGGGGGGGGGGGGGACACTGTTAAAAGTATATATTTTCTATATAAATTATATAAATTTCATTTCGTTCGGGGGGCGGTAAAAAAATTTCGGGGGGGGGGGGGGGATGGTCACAGACTGATGACTTACGAAACTAAAAGATTACCTACAACAAAAACTATCCGTGAACTCGTATCTATTGTTTAGGGTAAAAACACGAAGACCCTCTGCAACTAATAATACTTTTAATCAATTTACAACCTTTTAAAATGTATACAAGTCCAAATAATAAACTCTCGATTCTATATAAAATATTAAAAATATACAAATAATGAAAGACCCAACTTACGAGTTGAAGAATAACACAATGAAACTACTAACACTGGATAAGTACTTAAAAGTAATCAACACAACCTACACGATATTAAATTGAGGCACAGAAAAATACTTAATGCACCGGTAATTAGGGAAAAATGCTGCTTAACTTATAAAATACAACATGGCGTTGTGCATGGCATCTCTCTCGGTAAATGTCTGGTCATCTGCCTCGAGAGAGGAAAATTCTTGATATTTATGCGACCCCAGAATTATGGGATGTCCACCTCATAGTCAAAAGACTATTGGGTAGGGAGTCGCCAAAGTACGAATCAACCAATCGAAATTATTGGTGAATTTCACCACATAGCGTGATGGAAAATTTCTCTGGATTGCACCACAGACCACTCAAGGTCAATTAAATAATTGTAAAATTGAATAATAGAAAAAAAGTAGACCTAGGTATGTCACATGTCTCTTTTGTGTTTTGTATTAGATGCCACTATATTACGTCTCTAATGTGTTAGATGGCAGTGTCTGACGTTTTTAATGTATTTTGTGTATGATGTCTCTAATGTGTTAGATGCCAGTATAAGACGTCTCGAATGTTTAAGAAGAAAGTATATGACGTCTCTTATGTGTTTTGTTTTAGATGCCAGTAGATGACGTCCTGATCTACATGATAGACATGGACACCAGCAAGGTCCACTGGGTAGCTGAAGGGAAGGTACGTTGTTAGATTGACTAAGACAGTACAGGGTACGTTGTTAGATTAACTAATACAGTACAGGGTACTTTGTTAGATTGACTAAGACAGTACAGGGTACGTTGTTAGATTCACTAACAGAGTTCGGTACGTTGTTAGATTCGCTAAGACAGTACAGGGTATGTTGTTAGATTCACTAAGACAGTACGGTACGTTGTTAGATTCACTAAGGCAGTACGGTACGTTGTTAGATTCACTAAGACAGTACAGGGTACGTTGTTAGATTCACTAAGACAGTACAGGGTACGTTGTTAGATTCACTAAGACAGTACGGTACGTTGCTAGATTCACTAAGACAGTACAGGGTACGTTGTTAGATTCACTAAGACAGTACGGTACGTTGCTAGATTCACTAAGACAGTACAGGGTACGTTGTTAGATTCACTAAGACAGTACAGGGTACGTTGTTAGATTCACTAAGACAGTACAGGGTACGTTGTTAGATTCACTAAGACAGTACAGGGTACTTTGTTAGATTCACTAAGACAATACAGGGTACGTTGTTAGATTCACTAAGACAATACAGGGTACGTTATTAGATTCACTAAGACAGTACAGGGTACGTTGTTAGATTCACTAAGACAGTACACGGTACTTTGTTAGATTCACTAAGACAGTACAGGGTACGTTGTTAGATTCACTAAGACAGTACACGGTACTTTGTTAGATTCACTAAGACAGTAGAGGGTACGTTGTTAGATTCACTAAGACAGTACAGGGTACGTTGTTAGATTCACTAAGACAGTACAGGGTATGTTGTTAGATTCACTAAGACAGTACAGGGTACTTTGTTAGATTCACTAAGACAATACAGGGTACGTTGTTAGATTCACTAAGACAGTACAGGGTACGTTGTTAGATTCACTAAGACAATAGAGGGTACGTTGTTAGATTCACTAAGACAGTACAGGGTACGTTGTTAGATTCACTTAGACAGTACGGTACGTTGTTAGATTCAATAAGACAGTAAATGTATTCTGTCTTGTAACGGGTATAGAAATTCAAACGCTGTTGTTGTCATAAAAAGATTTTTTTATTTACTGTTTACTTTCTCGTATATACGAAGTATAGAGAAAGTCTTGTAATCGTTCAAAAAAAATCGAGATTTTCAAAAATCTCGACGTTTTTACACCTCACTGATACGGAAAAACATAATTTTGCAATCTTGTCCGTATGTCTTTTTGTCTGTCTGTGTGTGTGTGTCTGTCTGTGTGTGTGTGTGTAAACACGATAATTTGAGTACCGTTAGAGCTATGTTGATGAAATTCCATATATAAGTATTTTATCACAATCGTAGATCCGTATCAACTTTTGAGCGATTTCCGATAACCGGAAGTGGTACTTTTTCTACTTTGAATTTTTAAAAAGCCTATAACTTGAGTACTATTTCAGATAGATAAATTAAATTTTACATGTAAGTAAAAGATCTAATTCTCTATATTCCAAGTTATAATATTCGAGAAAGTTTAGGGGAGATCACTCCCGGTTTATTTTTTCCTGGCATGACAGAAAAAAAAATGAATCCTAAAAAGAGAAAATTATACGTTTATTAACCAAAATAAAAAAAAAAAAATTTCAGGTCAGAGAAGATTGCTTGGTGAAATTTCACAGACAGGTTATTCGTGAGTGTTAAGTTAAATCTTAATCATCCCTAACCATTGTTAGCGTCGTTGGGGTCCCACAGGTTGGTGTGTCTAGGGCTAATTGTGTCTGTGGTGTGTCTAGGGCTAATTGTGCCTGTGGTGTGTCTCGGGCTAATTGTGTCTGTGGTGTGTCTAGGGCTAATTGTGTCGGTGGTGTGTCTAGGGCTAATTGTGTCGGTGGTGTGTCTAGGTCTAAATGTGTCTGTGGTGTGTCTAGGTCTAGGTCTAAATGTGTCGGTGGTGTGTCTAGGGCTAATTGTGTCGGTGGTGTGTCTAGGGCTAATTGTGTCTGTGGTGTGTCTAGGGCTAAATGTGTCTGTGGTGTGTCTAGGACTAATTGTGTCTGAAAGTT